GTTCTAGCGTTTCATTGTGGCTGTAATTTTTCCTTATACCACTCTTCGCGAACGTGATACACTGTTATTTGTGTGAATGATGATTCACACCTCCATTATGGGGAGTAAAGGTGGCGGAGGGTGGTGCTATTGCCAAATGGCGGCTGTTATACCGTGTTGCGGATGCTATTTAAATCCATAACTGGTATGGTTTCTATTTTGTTTCTCGAGAAAAAGTTGGAGCAATGAATTTCTTGAGCCTTATTTATGAGTGATAAAGAGATATAGAAGTTTACTTGTAGAATTACATAGAAGATTGATAATTAACCTATATATATATATGAGGAGGGATCTACTTACACTGTTACACTTTGTTTTTGATTATTGGATTTGGATCAAAATAAATATTTTAACTCTTAGCAATTTTGATCCAAGAGTCAAAAATAGTGTAACACTTACACTGGTGTAACTGGATCTTTACTCTCTCTTTATAAATAGTAATGTTAAAAATAAGATTGTTTACTTTTGTAGAAGTGATAGTTGTGAATTGTGATTGGAGGTTGGTTGTTAATATCCACTATCAGCAGCTGAAATCACTTTAGCACATGTTGATAAAGAGTTTAAACTTTGAATTGACTAACAAAATATTTAGCTTGTGAGATATTCTTGATGACATAGAAGTTGTTAATTCATGGTGCATGTTTATGATATCCAGCAGAATATATTGGCTTTGCAAGCTGTTTGTTGATGAACATGTAAATTTGCAGGAGCCTGATTTATTGCTTTTGGATGAGCCAACAAATCACCTCGACCTTGATACTATTGAGTGGCTTGAAGGATATCTCAACGAGCAAGATGTGCCAATGGTCATTATATCTCATGATAGAGCTTTTCTAGATCAGTTGTGTACAAAGATTGTGGAGACTGATATGGGTGTTTCCAGGACATTTGAAGGTAATTATTCTCAGTATGTTGAGGCAAAGGCAGCTTGGGTTGAAACTCAGTATGCCGGATGGGAAAAGCAGCAGAAGGAAATTGAGCAGACAAAAGACTTGATAAACAGATTAGGTGCAGGGGCAAATTCTGGCCGTGCTTCTTCTGCTGAAAAGGTAAGTATAAGGGGCATTTAGTTCTTCAAGGAATGCTAGCTGTCCACTTTGGTCATTGTTCTGTAATGGAAGATGTGTAGTTTTACACCATCGTATTTATCCAGTAAATATACATTTAATGATGATGAAATGAAGTTACTACCAGATTGCAAACTTGCTTGACTGATGTTATTCTTTCAAATGGATGGCTAAGTTTTCATTAGATTTTAGTCTATAAAATTAATTACAGAAGGAAGTTACCTAGAATGCGGGTTTAGTTTGTTGAACTGGAACCAGAAAGTAAGACGTCATCATATTGAATGGTGGTACATTGGGGATAGTTTCTTTTCCCCCCTTTTTAAGTAGATTCATCTAGAATTCTAGGTTAGTTATAATTCATTAGGAAATTGTTGAAATTCAGTTGGTAGTTTTATATTATTCACCTAAGGTTGTTTGCTGTTTCTTCTTTTCTTATAAAGTTTTGTAATCACTTTTATCAAAGATTTCTCTATTCTGGATCACATGATCTGAATGAAATTTGTGAGGATGAAACCTTTGTATTTTTCCCGATAGATGGTTAATTTGCTTAAACAGTATTACCTAGGTATAGTGGTATACCACATTGATTAACTTTTCTTGTCTTTCTTCTTCCTTCCTAATTTAGTTTCATAAAGACTATTTCTTGTAAGTTTGCCTCATGAATGTTCTGTCTTCCTAGAATTAGTTCTCGATATTGCCATTGAAACTTTCTTTGGAGAACAAGGTTGGTGTTGCCTGAATTTTTCATCTTTTGTTTTCAATCTTTTGATTTTGATGGTGTTTGCTACTTAGATAGTTTAAGGGTCCGCAGATTTTGTGCTTGTACCTAGATTAATCCTTTAAACTCCGAGCTTTCTTCTGGTTACTTAATTTCTTCTTCTCCTTTCTGATTGGTAACAGAAGCTGGAGAGACTTCAAGAAGAGGGTCAAATAGAGAAGCCATTTGAACGGAAACAAATGAAGATCAGGTTTCCTGAGCGTGGAAGAAGTGGCAGATCTGTTGTCACTATAAAGAATCTGGAATTTGGTTACGAGGATGAGGTGAGTTGAGATGTTTGGTGGTTTGAGAAAGATGGTTTGGACTTTTTTTTAATCTTCTCATTTATGATAAAAATGTGGTTTGTGTATCAGTTGCTATTTAACAGGGCAAATCTTACAATTGAAAGGGGAGAGAAAATTGCCATTATTGGTCCAAATGGTTGTGGAAAGAGTACTTTACTGAGACTGATAATGGGTTTAGAGAAGCTGAGAGGAGGTGAAGTGCTGCTTGGGGAGCATAATGTTCTTCCGAATTATTTTGAGCAGAATCAGGTTGTTAGCCTCTGTGAATAAATGTTATTTGTATCTGACTTACTTCTCATTTTGCTGCTTAGTTGCTAAGCTCCCCTTTTTGAGCTAAAAAAGTGCGAAGCACTGACTGAATTTAATGAACAATTCTTTCAGGCTGAGGCTCTTGATTTGGATAAAACAGTGCTTCAGACCGTGGAAGAGGTTGCAGAGGACTGGAGAACTGACGATATTAAGGGACTTCTTGGTCGTTACAACTTCAAAGCTGATATGCTCGACAGAAAGGTTTCCCTTTTGAGTGGTGGTGAGAAGGTAATTGTGCTCTCTGTAGAAATTTATATGTTGGATGCTGTTTTTGCTTTTATGGATTTCATTAAAAAATTTTGTGCTTGGAATCTATTCCATTTAATACTCCAATATTTTTGGGGCATGGTTTTCTGGTGGGCTGATAATAGTATGTTGATTTATTCACAACATGTTGGACAATTTGGCAAATTTTAGGGTACTTATTTAAAGTTTGTAGGTTGCTTGACTTCGTATTGAATTCAAATGTTTAACATTATGCATGCTGGTGAATTATGATACCAGACTAACCTAATATGATTCTCTTTAATGTCTTTTGATCTCTATGTTTAATTCTCCCCTAGCAAACTTTTTCTTTTTAATGTTTTGTGAATTAATGGCTCTTGCATGTTGTTTGTCATGTTTTGCTAACTCCTTGTTTGTTTTAAAGGAGTGAATTTGAACGTTGTCTTTTCCTGTTTCATTTAGGCACGTCTTGCTTTTTGCAAATTCATGGTAAAACCGTCAACCCTACTAGTTTTGGATGAACCAACTAATCACCTGGATATTCCCTCGAAAGAAATGCTAGAGGTTTGGGTTTTTCTCGCCTCTATTCATTTTTTTTTTAATAAAACTTTTAGCATTTAGCTTTATCACTCCATAATTCTGCAATCTCTCATTATTCTATCAGGAGGCAATTCGAGAGTACAGCGGCACCGTCATTACTGTTTCTCATGACCGATACTTTATTAGGCAAATAGTTAACAGAGTAGTGGAAGTAAAAGACGGCCATTTGCAGGACTATATTGGTGATTACAATGTGAGTACGGTTCTCTACTTTTCATGCTTTATGTTCCCCTTAACTGCCTTGAGTGTCCACTTTCATTGCTCTTATCCCTTCCCATTCCGTTACGCATTCCTTGTCTGTTATATATTGATGAACTGGAGTGTTAGCTTGGTTAAGCTTACAATCTGGTAAAATAATAAATGTTCTTCATAATCCATGAGTTCATTCAAAATTGAAACATTCAGATGCTCATTTCTGCCAAGTTTATTGGTGGTATTTACCTGAAATATGTTGTTCAATGAGTGCTTTCTTCCATGATTAACTGCTGGTATGAATGTCAAATGAACAGTATTATCTGGAGAAGAACGTTGAGGCAAGGGAGAAGGAGCTTGAGCGTGAGGCAGAGCTAGAAGAGAAAGCTCCCAAAGTGAAAGCCAAATCTAAGATGTCAAAGGTAAAGCAATACCCTTGCGATTCTTAGCTTTCTAAACTGGTGACATGGTGTACATAACAGCAACCTTTCTCTGTACCTTGTTTTTAACAGGCCGAGAAGGAAGCTCGAAAGAAACAAAAAATGCAGGCGTTTCAGGCTGCTAAACACAAGTCCAAAGGGCTGAAGAATGCCAAGAGATGGAAATGAAACATTCAATCCATACTCCACATACATTGATTGAAGATGTTAAATCAAATTTTAACAGTGTAAAGTGGCTGGGATGTCAATTGACCATCAGCACCATCTGTATATTAGAATCTCGATAGAAATACAGTTCTAAATTGAAGCTCATATATGAGTTAAGATACTTCCCAGCCGTTTGTAATTTATGCTTCCTTAAAATGGATTGCAGGGTGGAATTCACTAGATAAAGTTGTTAAGCAAAGGCTGATCTAGATTCATGCATGCCCAATATAATGTTAAAACTTACAATTGAACTGAAAATTTGAAACTACTTCGATTCTGGGTGCTTAAAAGTGAAAAAAAAAATAATAATGGAGAGGCTGTTGACAAACACTAATTTTTCAGTGCATGACTTTATCATTGCTAAAATCATGTCCTTTTTATGTAAGTTTTACTTATTATTTTATTTTGAATTCAAGTTTGATGAGAGATCGTGGTAAAATAATTTTTTTATAAAATCATGAAATCCGATATAAATCATTAAATCTGCATGAATTAGTTGAGACGATAGAAGATTATATTAGGCAAATAAAAATTTCTTGTCCCTTAAAAAAATTTATTATTAATAATGTATTTGATTGAAAGTGATGTTAATTCAATTAATAAAATAAGTTAAAAAATTAAATAAAGAAATAATAACATAAATTAGGAATAATGTATTTTTATATCTAAAAAGAATTGCCAATACATCTGACATAACATTTTTTAATTTACATTTTGCAAAATCTAGTGCCACATAATCCAGCCTATGCAAATTTCAGTTCGTTAATAATATAAGCAAAACGTAGTCGTTTGGTTTCATCCAAACAAACTTTAAAAAAAAGACGTACCTCTATTGCAGACCAGAAACAGAGAAGTCGAGAAAAGCAAGCAAAGCATCCGCCGTTTGAGCAGGGAGTTGAGCCACCACTCCAAATTTCAAAATCAAAAACACCCAAACTTTTAAAACAAGCAGCTCCATTTGGCAAGAAAGTTCTTTTTTTTTTTGTTGCATTAACTTATTGATTTTACTTAGAGGTATGCCGAGAAATTTTTTTCTCTTCGGTTTTCTTATAATTGGATTACTCATTTTTGTTAATTTTCGTCATGTTTATTTTTTTTTTTTAAACTGAGATAGTGATATGAGTGAAGTGATGCTAGGCTTGCCAGGGCCGTGGGCTGAGGATAACCGTGAGCCCTCTGATCATCATACTACAAAAATTGGTGGACTTCCCGTAATTTTCTTTCTCTTTTCGTCTTCAAATGGTTTCTATCTTCTTTTTTTTTTGGGTTATTTATTTCTATTTTTATGAACTTGCAAAAGTTACCCTTCACTTTGTTTGTTCAACAGGATTGGCCTCTTCCTATAGAGGCTTTAAAGTTAAACCCCACCCTCATTCACTGCACTCAATGTGGAAGTAAACTCTGTCTTGTTGCTCAGGTGCTTATTTATTCTACTCTAATGCTTTTTCTTCACGTTATTGCCAAAAAAAAAAAAAAAATCAATATGGGAATCCAATAATTTATATTATTTTTCTAAATTCCTGTTCAGGTTTATAGGTTTATGCTCCTGTTTCAAGTGAAACTTTAAAGATAGAAGAGCGTCTTCTTCTTGTTTTTGGTTGTGTGACACCAAATTGTGGTAGCTCTCCTCTCAGGTTCATTCTCTGAATTGTTTGTTTGACCACAATTTATCGATGAAATATAATTATTTAACTGTATAAGTGCTGTGTTCTCTTTTACTACAAGAATAATGACTCTTTACATCTATACTTTGTTTTATGAAATATAACTATATAGTTGGCGAGCTCTTCGAATTCAGAAAGTGGAAAATGATGCACAGGAATCATCCTCCACTGCTACTGAGGATAAAACTCCTGCGGCTGCATCTCCTATTTCTGTTTCAAAAATGAACTGGTGGGAGAATTTGAGTGATAAGGATGATGAAGATGTGGATCTGGAGGACTTAAGTAGAGCATTTTCTAAAGTAGCAAGCTTGAGTTCTCAGCCCAAGAAGACAAATACCAACCGGAATTCTGAAAGAGCTGTGAAGCATTCTTCTCCTTTAACAGCACAAACAAGAGGTGTGGATACTGAGACGCCAGGTGAGGTTGCCCCTTTTGTGATGTGTTGCTTAGAATTCCTTTATATATATAATCTTATGTGATAGCTTTTACTCTATTCTATGTATTTTATAACCAAGTACCATTGCTGTTAATAAGTCACATAACAACCAAGTTCTTCTCTACACTGCTGCAAGCACTGCATTCTCATTCGTTCTGTTTAATATGGAAAGCAGCAACTCGGTTTTCTTAATACTTTTTGGTCTGGAGAGTTGCATTGTGATTTCAAAGTTGCTTCAAAATGCCATATAAATTTCTTCCTCATATTGTTTGTATACTAATTTTGTTGTGTTTAAAGGCTTGATCGACTCATTTTGTTCCTTTATAGCAGTGATGCCGTGCTTCTACATTTATAGTCAGGTGGAGCCATCATCAAAGAATTTTGCTTCTATGTGTTCAAATTACTCGTCACTTTCTGTCAAGGAGAAAGAAGGTGATGTTGATGATCATGGACAAGAAGAAACATGGGAAGCTGAAAATTATGAATATGATAAGGCTTTGAATGCTGACAGGACTTACCTCAAGTTCAAGAAACAATTGGATGCATCTCCAGAGCAATGTTTCAGGTCATTTAGGGTTATTTGTCGAATGTCTAAGCTGACATCCCTTGCTTAAATTGGCATATATAGACTTCCTCCCATTTCTGTACCATCACTACTATTAATGCAAGGGGTTGACAAAGGATGGAATGATGCATATTGTTCTTTATTATATTTTCATGATTTCATCATTTCTAGGCCTTAGTTAAACTCCAAAAGTTAATCAACAACAGAATAATGAATGTACCCAAAAAGAATAAACAAGGAAGCAAACATTTTTTCATCACCCAGATTACTACAGGGAGATTTATTTAGTTAACATTGATTCTATTAGTAATTTGAGTTAGGCACTGTTACTCTCAGTATCATTTTCCCACCGCAATTACAAGGAACAAAAAAAAAAAAAAGAAAGAGAAATAATATTGATATTGTTTATTTAACTTCTTGATGTCTCAAATAGAGAGTGAATAAATGTTTCTCACAGTCCTTTATGTTCTCAGATATGCATTTGGTGGGAAACCTCTTCTGGCTACAGCAGAGGTGGGAAATGCTGGGAAGTGCAGGCTTTGTGGTGCTTCAAGGCACTTTGAAATGCAGCTTATGCCTCCATTAATATATTTTCTGCAAGAAGAAGCTGATGCTTGTCATAAAGGTTCACTAGAGAATTGGAACTGGCTGATGCTTGCTGTCTATACATGTTCCAAGGTGAGTTGTCAACTCTTTGATTAATCTAACTGAACCCAATAAGGAAGATGGGGAAGATATATGGGTAGAATTGGGTCCTTTAACTCCCGTTTCATCTTCTTATTCTCCCTCTCTGGCCTCCCTTCAAAATGAGAAAAAAACAAAAGAAAAAATGACTTGTTTGTTGTTACCATGTTCTTTTAACTCAAAGAATATGTTTCACTAGAATCGACCTCAATGATTAAAGCGCTGCTGGGCTCATAACTTTAGTACAATTGCTGCTGTGCTTTCTAAACTGATAATTGTTCCTTGGGGTCCTAAGCTTACCACTTAGCATTTTGCTTATGTGAAACCTGGCAGATTACTTGTACTTTCCTTTTTCCAAGTGAAAAGGCTTTCCATCTTGTGCTCATCTTTGTGTTATGTATTTCTTTACAGAGCTGTTCTAAGTCATTTGATAAAGAGAAGTCCACCCATGGTGTTTGGTTTGCAGTAGAGGAGACTGTTATCATGCAATTTGAGAAACCCTTAAATGAGTGTGCTCAACACTACTTCTCATGATTTATGATGTTTGGCAAATATTTAAGTGTGAATTGTAAATTAGAATTTTTTTTTTTTTTAATCTGTGTTGTGCGGCTTCTATGTATAAAGAGATGAGCCAACATTATACGTTGTCCACAAGGATCCTGAGAGTTTACTGATACAGAGGATAGTTTGCCAGATTTTTGTGTCCTTGACAACTCAATAGTGCGCATTTGCGTGTTTTTCCTTTCTGGGAGAAAGAAAAATAAATCCAGAATGGTCTGAACGTCATATTGTCTCCAAGAAAGTATTCTGCAGTGGTAGAAGATTGATAAGGGATGTTAAAGTTTTTAGAACTCCATTTGCTTTGGTGGTGGATTTTTTAACTGATCTTTCTGCTATTGCTAACATTATGATCCTTGGTTTGCTTCACTTTAAATTCTTCTGTTTTTCTGAGATGGTTTTCAACTAGATAGCTCAAACACTTGAGCTTATCATATGTACAAGGTTTGCAGAAGGATAATATTTCATTTTGATTCAAAATTTCCAATTGCTAGTTTGTTCGAGAGGTATCCAGCTTATAGAAAATAGAGAAAAAGAACTGCCTTTATCTTTCTTTTTTGATGTGTTCACAGGGCTAAGTCCTCCTTAGAGCCCACTTTAGAGGGATTTAACTCCATTTGGAAATTTCCTTGCTTGGGCATTGGATTAAGACGCTTCTCACAATGAGAAAGAGGAAATTATTTCAACTTCATAGATAGCTAGGCTTGAAATCTATGAAATGCAATTGATTATGTTAAAAATGTGTGATTTTTTTTTATTAATACTACAGACTCTTAGGTATTGAACATTGATTATTGTCGTTAAGAATTCAACATTGTACTAAGAGACCTGGTTGAACAATTATCTTTACTCCCATCATATAAAAAACGTATGAATTTTACTTTATGTAATCAAATTTTTTGAACTTTGACTCTTAATATCATGAGCAAGAGTTATCATTAGAAGAACAACAATCTCACAGTAAAAATATCATTGCAAAATCAGCAGAATGCAAAGCTAAAGCTAAAGCCTTTTTCCAAACATGCGATTGTCATACCTTTTTCCAAACTTTTGACATGGGCAGATAGAAAATATAATGACCCCAACAGAGATTTGTTGATTAGACACAGGGCATTGAACTTCCTCTTAATGGTCTCAGTGTCATAAGCCTGTTCAAATACAGTCAATAAGTGTTGGTAGAAATGTAGCGACCGCTACTCAAATTTCTTGATAAGTGATAGGTCATTTAACATTCTCTCAATGGCATCATCATCGTGAGCCCGTCCTTTAGTCTGCATAGCAAAGACAATTCATTACTAGAGGCTAAAGAAACATTAACAATTTATCTTAATTTTAAAAAACTTGCTAGATAGTTAGAAGATCACAATAAAAATTCTAGAAATCAAATTGTCATCAAAAGAACTAGAGGGCTGGGATAGCTTCCGAGAGTCATTTTCCTTGTTTTGTTGTATCAGAGATAGAGAGAGACCATTAAAATCTGTCAACTTATGCGCTAGAAAATGCATGTGAAAAAAGAAAGCACAATCTAAATAGCATCTTATTAGTCTCTTGTTTTGCTGCATCAGGGTAGAAGAAAGAGAGAGATAACATATAAATCATTCTCAACTTATACAGCATAAATGCATGCAAAGGATGAACAATCAATTTTAATTTGTAGATTACCCAATGACTATTCAAACAATGAAAAGAAAAATGGACATAAAAGAGGTAGAGTTACAGAGAAAAGTGTGCTTAACATTTTATACCTTGATGGAAGGCACCATAGCAATTGCTTCCTCCACAGTTTCAGGACATAGGTTACCAAGAACACAAAGCTGCAAAAGTAGCACAATATAAAGAGTATTTCCACATGATAATAAACATGCTACTTCTAAGTTTACCGCTTTCTAGTGTATAGACCCTCACCTCGAATTCAGCTAACTGATATCTACTCAGAATTCTGAATTTCAGTTAAGGTTCACATTAGAGAGGCAGGTTACATAATTAAAGAAAAGAAATAACCCCATCCCAAGCATTACCTACAATGTCACAAGAGGAAATAGTATTTGTCTATATTAATCAGATCCCAGCAAGTAAATTGATCAGTCAAGACTTCCTTTGACTAACATCAAAAAGATAATAATATATAGGAGCCAAGAAGGGCCCGAAAAGCTAGTGCAGAGGAGTAAATATATAGAGGCACATATGCTTAAAAATAAAGTCCATTTATCATTTTAAGAAATGTAGAGGATACTCTCGAACTTGTCTAACAGCATCTGGATTTTTATAACGGCTAAAGCGCTTAACATACTGCAGCGACTTCTCAAATACCCTGTGAAACACACACACAAAAAAAAATCATTCACCACATCAACTGAGAGGAAAAATAGCAATAAAGGCATGCAAATTTCTGTAAATACCACAGCCCATCAGAGAATCCATCTTATACAGTTAGGTTCTGTTTGGTGCTCCGGAATATGAATGTAATAGATCAGATATAATTGATAAGTAAATTGTCTTTGTTTTATCTTATTTTGGCTCATGCATAATAAAAGCGTGCTTGCTTTGTTCTAAACAAACCTAGAATTTATCCACCACTCCCCCTCTTATAGGATTATATAATCATCTATACAGTTTATCTAACAAGCCCTCAGGTCCGTAGAGACAATGAAAAAACAAGTTATATCCTATCCAATCCAATAATACGCACCAAACAAGCCCTCAGGCTAACATATTTATACAACAAATTCAATAACCGAAAAAAATGCAAAAATTCTAGGAAACATGAAGTCTTATCCCAGGTCCGAAATTTATGGCCAAAAAAGTAGCTAATCGTTTTTAAAATCATGTCAATTAAATTAAACAGAAACCCCAGTAGCCAATTACACAGAGATTATCTAATAAGAAAAGAAAAAAGACCCAAGAAACAATTAAGTGTTCTTATGAAACTCACTGGGAAACCTGATTCATGGGGTCATCAGACATTTGCTGAAGCTGCTCATACTTATGCTCAAGAATTAAAGCCACTTCACAATTCATCAAACATTTCGCCTTCAAAAACTCTATCCAAACAAAAATTTACTCATTTAGCTTGTGGGTTTTAATAATTTTAGCCAATTGGAAAGAAAAGGAGAAAAATAAATAAAAAGAAAATGGGTTTTTTTTTACCTTCACCAATTTTGAGCTCGGCAGCGTTTTCTTCCTCTTCGCCAGACATAACTAGACAAGTGGGGTTTTGTCAGAAAGCAATTTGGTTTTATGATATCATAAACGGCGATGATCAAAGAAATAATAGGACGGATTTTCTTACTTCTTACCTGGTTGACTCCAATGAGAGCTGAGAGGCAGAAACCTAAATTTGATTTTCAGTTAGAATCAAACTAATGTATGTACTTGTGTTCTGTCCTAAAATGTAAAATAAAATACAAAGTCCTTGGGCTTTATACTTTTCTTCCCCAGTCAACTGACCCGACCCGACCCATTTCTTTTTTTGACCTTTTTAAGTTATTAAAATATTAAATACTCCCAGCCTTTATGAATTTTTATCTTCTTATTGTAATTCATTGTATCAATTATTAATTGTTTATAATAATTTGAGCCTTTATTTGAATGCAAACTTTAACATCGTTATCTCTTTTTGTCAAAAAAGTAGAATTACCATGTTACCAAAATGATATGAAATAAATGTTATATGCGATATTTTCAAGCATGTCTCAAAATAAAAAATTTATTTTTATTTTTTCAATTTTTGACATATCATTTGGAAATTACATTTTTTTTTTTTTTTACATATGTTCAAAAATGTCATGTGACAATAATTATTAAGCATCAATAATTTTTTATTGATAATTTTAAATGTGATATAATGATATGATATGAAATAATATAAAAAAAATTTATATAACTAAAGTTTTAGTATAAATTATAAATGAATTTGATAAAAATAAAAAAATATATATTTTATATTTGATATATCGATATAAATTTGATATTATAATAATATTTTATATATATTTAACACGATCCGAATATAAAATAAATACATAAATTATTAAATTTATGTCATCTCATGTAATAATTTTATCTGACAAAATTAATTAATGGTGATAGGATTTTTATTCAAATAAATCTTAATTGATTGTAAAAATAATTAATTAAAAGTTAAATTTATTCCAATAAAAAAGATAAAAATTTATACGATAAACGCCATCATTCTCAAATACCAGTGAATAAAAAAACGTAGTGTTTTTCTAGGATTAATGATTTTGTTTGATATAAATAATAGGTCATGGATTTATTTGAATAAAAAATAAAATATAAAAATTTATTTATAAATAATGAAAAGTTCATAGACTCATTTACTATTTTAACCCTCTGCATTTATATCTGTTCATTTGAGTGGACTCATTCATTTAGTATTTTAAACTTTAGTATTTATTTTAATATTTAATATATAGTGAATTAACATATAATTTAATAATTAAAAATAATTTTAAAATTAATTAAATTTGTATTATTTTGTAGTTAAAACCTCGAATAGAAAAAAAAGATTTTTTATTTAAAATTACCTTAATAAATAATATTTGAAGGGTTTTGATAAAAAATTAATACTTGTGGTATTAATGTATTTTTTGTTAAATCTTAGAAGGGAACAGAACGTTGTGACGTTTCTCAAACTAAAAAAATTAAACGTATTTTTATCAAACTTCAAAATAAGTTTCAGGTTCGAGAATAATTAGACGCGTATTACCCTTTATTTGTGAGTTAAAAACATTTAGACGGGAATTATTTTTCTCAAATGAATTAAATAAAAATAGAAAAATTAAAAGAAAGTTAAAAATAAAAAAAAAATTATTTATCTAGAAAAAAACAATCATCCCACCTTTTGAAATGTTCAGAAACGGATGCCTAAGAGCAAGGTGGCAACGCCACGTTACCTGTATTTGGCAGAAAGTGTGTAAACTTGAAACCACCCCTAACTACAAAGCTTAAAGCAAATGCGAATACTACTTCTTACTTGTTTATTTCTATTCTATTTTTGCAAATTTAAGAATGAATAAATCTAGAAGAAGCTCCACTCTGTTTCTTTGGTTCATCATTCTCTCGCATCAAATTCCATCAGTAGTTTGTAATGAAGAGAAACCATCTTTCTTCCAAGTTGTATCAAGCACCATTTCATTGTTGAAGAAATCTCAAAAAAGTTCCTGGGAAAAGATTAAGACCATTATCCATGAATTCCAGTTGCAGTTTACCCCTCCAAATCTAGAGTAAGATTGCATGACAATGTTATGTTTTTGTTATTACATACATTGATTTCAATGTTGAATGTACATTCTCCATTGACATGTTTTGTTCCTTGTCTTACCAGTTTTAGAAGCACGGACACAGAAAAAGCTACGGGTTCTCATAGTGTAGGAGAGAATATGAAAGAAGCAGTGAAGAAAAGCATTGAAACAAGTAAAGTAACGGTTGAAGAAACCGCCAAATCTGCTGCAGAAGCTGTCGACAAGACTGCTGAGAAGGTGAAAGAGAGTATCTCTGATAATGAAGAATCTCATGATGAACTTTAAACTAAATCAGAAACCGTATCAGTAGAGTAATTTAGGTGTGTTTTCTGTAAGTCCGATTTTTGTTACATGATCTTTTATGTTTGCATATGTTACAGCAATTAGACTACAATGACGTACCATCAATGGCGAAACAAAGTTGTTTGATCTGAATTTATTTAACAGAAGAACACGTAAGAGACTTCATAATTCAAAGTTTACAGCTCAAGGAAACCGCACGTGTTCTATGTTTTAAAATGATGAATTTAAAAGCCCATAGCCTTTAACCACCATTGTTAAACAAAAACTCCGTTATGAAAATCATGCAAAATATTCAACTTAAAATTGACTGCAAGAAGGATCACCATTGAGAGACCAAGTAGTGAAACTGAGATAGCAGTCACCATAACTATGAAGAATGAGATGCAGATAGTCTAAGACATTCACTCTGACACCTTCGAAGGCAAATGTCATTCCAGTTGGGTACCTGATGTTGGTTGACGCAAACAGTACGTGCACAAGCATCAGAGCAAGCATCGAGCTCAGACACACCACAGACAGTTACACAAGTGTCAGGAATTGGATCCTTTGAAAATGCCCCAACTTTTTTCAACATTCTCTTTGATGTGCAGACTCTCTCACAAACAAAAATATCATCCGAGCTCTTCTCCCTTCCCCTGGCACTCTTAATTCTCTGTTCTTCAGCATGCTTTTTCTTCATTCTAAAAGCTTGCCCTGCGATAACTGCTGGGATGGCAGCCCCGAGAAGGGACCACCACACATCCACCATCACAAATTGCCCTTTCTCCTTTCCCTACTTCCTCTTCAGCACTCTTCAATGAAAGAGGAAAATACAGCACATGAACTATTTTTATTCATTTCTTGACTGAACAGCTAGCAGTTAAATTAAATTTAGCCGATTCACTTTTACTTTTAACACATAATTAAAAATTCCAGTAGCAAATGCAATCAAATCTACTTACAACAAGGAGCAGCCAATGACACCAAAAGAAAAAGGAGACTTTTAAAGGTAAATAAGTGACAAATACTTACAATCCGCAGTTAGAAGGCTGGATTTTTGGCTCCCTACCATTTAAAATTCCAGCATGTCTAGCAAACAATACACTAAAACATTATGCATTCAACTTAGCTTTAGTACAAGAAGACAAGTGCCACTTTCATCATATTATCTATGAATATCAGAGAGATAAAATCACAGAGAGAATATACGCAATGCTCCCACTATCGGCTTTAGAACCTACACATTTAACCTCTCAATAACAACCATTTTCCACTTGATTTTCCCAAAAAAGATAATCAAGCTACCCATCTTCCATTCGAAAGTTCGAAAGATTTTAAACAAAACTAAAAAAAATCCAAACAAGGTACATTACGGCCCGATTATAGCCAACAGCCATAAAAAGCCTCAGAAACCCATTTACATAAATTTTTATACATAACAATCAAATGGCTAATTCCATTTCATCATACTACAAAACACATTCTTAATTTTGTGAACAAAAAACCACAGCTTTCTTAAACAATCGCATAAATTCAATTCCCAAAATTAAATTTCTTATTCTTCAAAAACAAAAAACTGAAACTCTTTCAGAGAGAATAAAATATCAAAAAGCATTCAACTTTAACAACGATCCTATTTTTTAACAATTATTTACCAAATATCCATTTCATTAAAGGAACAAAAGCATATCATCATGCAGTAACATAAACCCATTATTGAAATGATATAGTTAGGTATAAAACAAGTGAAATAAACACAAATCAAAAGCCCAAAAATAAGTTAAAAATCATAAAATTTAGATAAAGAGGGAAAAAAAAGAAGAGAAATCCAGATTTCGAGTTATAAATCGTATTACAAGGAAGATACACCGAATGCTGCTGCTAATCCTACAGGTTTAATTTCTACCAAATGAGGGGAAAAAAGACAAAAAAAAGTTTAGGGTTTTAGAGAAGAGAAAAGAAAGACAGAGGGGGCTGACCTTTGGGGCGGACCTTTTGAGGGTACGCGTTGGCTTTCGACCGTGGAAAAGGCTTGTTTTCAGTGTATTATTTACGGCGGAAGGGAAACAAAATTTTTTTTTTTTAAAATAAATTGAACGAGAAGTTTTGCTCATAAAATTACTATTTTTTAAAAGTGATATTTTATTGATTTGAATTTAAATTTTAATGTTTATAAATTTTTTTATATTGAAGCTAAGATCCCTTTCATAAAAAAATAAAAATTTGAAAATATTAACTATTAATTAGGAGAATGTGAATGTTAATAAATAGGGTTAAAAACTGACACTTATTGCATTTTTTACTCTATTAAATAAAATTTTAAAATCACTCTCAGTATATTTAATTTTTTTAATAAAATTTCAGTCCAAACTAAAATTTAATGGGATTTAACTAAGGGATAATAATAATTAACGGCAATTATGGGATAATAATTAACAGTACCACTATTTTTTTAATCGTTAGATTAAACTTAAAATATTATTTTGATTATATATATATATATATATATATTATTTAAGATATGCTCTGACCTTGTAACGGGATAACCCCTACTCAAACTCTTTTGTTAAAGAAAAAAAAAATACAAAAAGATGGTTACTTATTCACAGTGAAAGTTCTTATTTTCCATTCCTCAAACTGAAAGTAAAATCATGGGGGTGCCGCGGGGTGGGGGGGGGGGGGGGGGAATATGAAAGAAAAAGAAGGTTTGATTGAAAAGAATCGCCTATATTTTGGTGGGAGGCAAACAATCAATAATTATACATCCAGTTAAACTGTAAAACCCAGAAACCCTTTCCTTACAACTTTTGTTTATGGCCAAGGATATAAAAGAATTGACATGCCAGTTTTACAAGCAAAACGAATAAGGGGGAAAAATATGGAGCAACGAATAATACGGCCAACACAAAATTTCCCCTCCCGGCAATGGTGATTGTTTTGTAGCAAACATTGGAAATGATATTGCATCAGACATTGATATCTGAGCGCTTTGATCTGATGGTGCTGCTGATTTCTTGGGGGCCAGTAAAGGAGAATCTTGGGAGGCTGTAATTCTCAGTCACTGAAACTGGCTGTTGAGGGTAAAGCGTGGGAGGTGGAGTCAGATTGCGCTGAGCTGGTAGGGGAGGAAGCATGTTGTAATTGTAAGGGTCACCGCTCAAACTGCAAACAACAGAAAATTTAAGTAGGAAGCATCCTTTCATATAGGGCACCGCAAACATGAAGATAGAGAGAGAGAGAGAGAAGAAGAAGAAGAAGAAGAACAATAGTCTTCCTCACATAAAAGTTTCCCAAGGTAACTCCGTAGCCTGACTTACCTTTTACGCTTGTACAAATAGAACTGATCATCATCACTGGAATTTTCATCTAAACGTTGAGAAGTTCTCTGAACAGGAGTTATGGACCATGTGTTTGCAGTTGGTAAGTCATCTGGAAAATATCTTCTCCTAATCAACTGAAACGAGTACAACATAAGTTTAACAACAGCTAACTTGAAACAAATTGAGAGCTAGAATACCACACAAAGTAAGCGATGAGGACAGTAATACCATACGAAAAAATTTCATTACACCTTCCTTGTCATATCTAGCATCTTTGGCAGCCTGTAGACATCAAGCAAAATGTTAGACATCTACAATTAGCAAAAGCCATAACTAATTTTGTTAACTCAGGTTTGCCATGCTCAGCAAAAGCATAGAATCTTCACCAACCCCAACTCTTTGCTAAAGTTTTAAACAGTACATCGTGATTGATTTATCAGTGGTGCCATCTTAGCTCATTTTGGCTTGCAGAAACCAACTTCATGAAGTAAAGTATCTTCCATAAAAGATATTTTCCAAGAAAAGAAAATACTACTATTGTTTGGACTCAAGAACAAACATTTATTAGTATTCCTTGTACAAAGGAAAATCTTTCTTTGCCACCACCTTTGCAACTCAAACTCACATGGAATGTAACTTATGTTGGAATAGCCAAACCCATTTACTCAATACTCGATGACTCTGACCTCAATTCACAGTTCCTAATTCAGATAACAAAGATTTCATAAACAAAAAGTAAGAACATTATTTGTTCTGCATGCGTGACAAAAGCCAAGAAATTTGCCCCTTTCTTGCCACTGCAACGATGCAGATTCATAATCAAAACTAACCCCATTCACAGCCCCAACAACCAGCCACCAAAATCATCCAAGATCTTAACAAATCAACCAACATCATGGTAAATTAACTAGAATATCTGAACAAGTGTGTGTGCTAACTGAAGATCATTTGTTGAGATTTGATATTTAGTTTGACATAGGTTTGAAACTGTTAGTGTTAAAATGGAAGGGAGCAAGTGAGAGAGATAAGTAAGAGAAGAACAGGGGAGAAAAATGACAAAAGGACAAGACGCTCTGTCACCAGCAACAGGAGCACCTACCTCTGCAGGAAGAAAAAATATAGATTTAGATCTTTCAGCAAGGCAGAGAAAGAAGAATTAAGCGGAGAGGGGTTTGCATTGTTGAAGTAGGTGACCGGTACCTGCAATGTGATGACTTAGCATCGAGAGGGAGGTAATTTGATGGAGGATGGAAATATGCTAGTTGAGGGATTATATTATCTAGGACATTATTTTTAATTTTAGGGTTTGATTGTAATCTTTACATATATTTAGGTTATTTTATGTTAATTAATATTTTATTTCTTGACCAAGTACTAGGATTTTAGGGTTATATTTGATATTTTGTGATTTAGCAGGGTTTCAGGATTAGTAATAAATGCCTATGTTATTTAATTAGGTTTTGGTTAATGAACATTTGAGATTATGAGATATTGATTATTGAGATTTTCCCCCTCTATTGATTCTTTCTAGTTTTCTCCATTAATTCTATTTTTCCCCCATTTCTTCTATTCCTCCCTAATTGCTGCTGTCTATCTCTGATTTTCCCTCTAAATTTCTATTTCTATCTCATTCCCCTACTTGTTCTACAACATAATTAGTCAGAAAAGGTTGACATACAAGTGAGCGATTTTTTTTTTCTTTAACAGTGCAATTGCTGGGTGAGGAAACTAACTTCCTGGCCTCAAATCTGGAAGATGTTTTCATCACTTTGCTTTGCTATTTTGTTTTGTAAGTGAAACTTGTTTCTGTTCACTTTTTTTGTGTGTCTACCAAACACCAAAAAATGCAAAGAATGACTTTAAATAAAACATCCAAAGGCTCAGTGTTTCCTAAATTTTGAATGCAAAATTTTACCCGTAACAGCTTGGCTGTGTTCTTTGGTTAAGTGAAATCTTAGCATTTATAATAAAAAAAAAATAAAAATGAATGCATATATCCATGTTAATAACAAAGCATAACAAATAATGAAAGGCATCAATAATGGAATCTCAAAATTATCTTAGACATTTGAATTCAAAGAAAAAGAAAATTAACAATAGAATGGTGAACATTTCATGCTAAAGAATTTGAGAGTTCCTAAAAATTGTCATGTACATGTAGTATGTTGCTAAAATAATTAAGAAGTAGAATGCACAGCATTCAACAAAATTAGAGCAAAACTGGAAATAACAACGCCAGTAAACAGTAGGTAATGGACAACTACCACTGTGAAATTACTAAATTACAAGGATTTATGGATCAACAAAACCATAAATTTCAAAGAACAGGTGTCACTTATCCAAGAGAGAGAGTCGCAAATTGAAAAGCAAGAAAATTGCGGACAATTAATGAAAACTGTTGCACTTCATCTTTCTTCACGCAGCAATTTGAGACATAAATTAATCAAGTAAAAGAAAAACTATCCTATTTGACTTAAATTTTACAAAATATGAACTGAAACGTATCATCTCCCTTCTTTTAAACTGACATGTTGTCTACAGGATTCTAATTTTATTGCAACTACAATCTACATGAAATAGATCAATTACACTGAAACACCCAAGTTTCCCCCATAAATTTCTGCAAGCATATAACAAGGAAAGAATAAAATAAGAAAATTTACTCTAACCAACATATAAGCAACTCAGTGCATAAGTTAAAATGCTTACTGCAATAAGGCCTCCACCACCAGGAAAACTCTCAGTCAGTGGAAGCTCCTCACTAGATGGAAGCAAACCCTGCTTCTCAACCCACTGACGAGCTACATCGACAAGATTTCCACTGCTACCTCTTGTACCCTCTTTAGCAGCAATATCAGCTTTGTTACCAATAACAATATATGGGACAGGAAGTCCCCCAGGACCTCCAGAACCTAGAGGAGCTGAAAATGTCCCAGTTGCGGCAATCTCAGCTGCCCACTTCTGCAGGCTTGCTTTTGTTCTCCTTTGGGAAAGATCATGAACAAAAATAACACCTGCACAAAATTTCAAGGCAGAATCATGAGAGAAAATCACAGGGCACAGGGCTTGCAGTAATTACAAAAGGCTATTATGGGAAGACGAAGCAAGAAAAAGTTTCCAGGCAAAGATGATTAGGTGCATATCAGTAGGATGGTAATGATGGCATGCTGATAATATTTAAGACCATTGAGTCAAAATTGCAATAGGTGCAATCAGCTTGTATTGCAAACATCTCTATTGAATAAATTCATTTATTTTGGTATTTTGCAAATTTGCATTCAAGTTACAAACTAACAGGGATTCTATACAGAAGAAACAACAATTTTCTAAAGCATCTTTTACACCTATAGATCTGTAGAATCAAGTGCAGCTTAAAAATTAAATATATTTTAGCTATGAACAAAAACAAGGGAATCAAACAGCTGCAGCTGTCTACGTTTCATTTATGGAATAACAGGCTATGGGAAAACTGATATAGTGCAACTAATGACAGTAGCCATCACTTCATATATATGCATGTCATTGAATCAAGGCACTGTTCAGAATATCAACCAAGAAATAGCCATGGTCCTCAACCTGTTCCCCATTCAACTGAAAATTTAATTTCAAGCTAGTACTAAATAGAACATGCCCACAGCAACCCATCCAATACTTCGAAAAAGAACAAGAAAGATTGTGGATTACTGGACTTACAAACTAAGCATCAGAAAGTTTTTGTACCAACAATTATCAAAAACTTAAACACATTTGCTCAAGCAAAGATCAAGTACTCACCATTAATTTTTGAATAAAAAAGAGACCGGCAATCTTTGTATCGCTCATGTCCTGACACATCCCAGAGTTCAATGAAGAAATCTCTCTCAGCATCCCCTTTTAAGCTACTTGAAGAGCTACCAGGACTACCATATGTGGTATGCTGGGTAGAATTGTGGGGGCTACTTGGTGAATGAACTCAAATAATAACTTTATTTAAAACAACAAAGGAGTACTAAGTCTTACCTTCACACCAACTGTACATCCAATAGTTTGAGGAGGGTGACCAGTGGAAGAGCCTTTGACAATCAGATGAATAAGAGAAGTTTTCCCCACACCTGCCAAAAGACTAAGATTTCAAGCTAAAGTCTGGCATCTAATAAAATGTTGAAAATAAACATTTTTTATATTTAATTAAGCATGAAAGTAAACAAATCAAAACAGCAGATCAAGAGTCTGCTTACTGCCCAATAATAGCACAACACTGTCAGAAACACTCAGCAGTAAAAAAAAAAAAAATACTATGACGTCCACAGGAAATATCATAGGAACATGAAACCAATGAATCCGTTGTATAGATTTGTTCTCTTGATACAGAAAGTAATAAAACAGTCGTCTACAAATTACTGAAGTGCTGCCACCAAGGCCATGCCAATTTTCCTTCTAGTAACTTGAAGTGTAACATTAGCTCAAGTGTTAAGGGTGGGATGGGGTATGGATAGAGATCCCAGGTTCAAGCCATGGAGCTCCCTCTTGTACCAATAAAAAAATTGAACTTTACCAAGTTAGCTCTTAAAATTAATGGTTTACCTAATAAACCAACTAAGATTTCTACCTTCTTCCCATTTCTGTCAAATCTTAATACATCACCCCATGTCTTTCTCCAATGGCTTCAAATTTGTTTCTTATACATACATATCACACACTACATCTCCTCAACCAAAAACTGAGAAAGTCAGGCAATTATTTCACACCATAAACTTCATATCTCATTTCTACCATTAATATAATGAATGGCCATTAATCAAGTTCTCAAATTTTTTATGCGCAAACAAAAACATTTGTTACGTTAAGTCCTTTTATCCTTACGTTCTGGTAGGTAATCCAAACGTTCATCTTTGTCCAGCATAGTTACACTTCAGTAAGCTTAAAACTGAACATTCATAAATTTAACCAAACCCTAATCAGCAACAGCTAAACTATGGTTTTGTACACCAAGATATTTATCAAGCATGTTCCTTCTCGTATAGTAACAATTATAATAATTTTATAGCATACAAACTCATTAAATTCCCTAAGCAGGCACTCCATACATAAAAGCATACAGCAAAAAGCAGAAAATTTTGCAAAGACAAACACAATTTATGAATACAAAAAATTCTGTGATTAAAAAGAAAGTAAAATTCGATACCTGAATCACCAACAACAAGAACTCTAATCTGCCCACAAGGAGGTCCTCCATTAAGCTCTTTGTTCTCCCTCTCACGTTCCCTCCAAAACATGTTTTTTCTCTTTTCTTCTCTCACAACCCAAAAAAAAAAAATCTACTACAAAAAAAAAAAAAAAATCTACTAAAAAAGAAAAAAAACCCAACTCAACTTTACAAACGATAGCAAGATTAATCAAGTAACATCAAAGAGGCACAAATTCAAAGAAGAGTAACAATTTCTCAAAATGGGTACCCAAAATTTCAAACCAATATCCATCTCACACCAAAATCCACCCAAGATCTACACCTAAATCCACCATCCCAAACTCATCATTTCTGAATCAAATTGGATCTAACAAAAAGACCTTCTTCAAATGGGTATCTTTAGAATGGAAACACAAGAAGTGGGTTTCTCTTTAAATTTCTCTTTAGAGCATCCAAATCTCAATCGATTAAACCTGAGTTTAAAAATATATTTTCCAGAAAAAAAAAATCCAACGTTTTTAGTGGGGTTTATCGGAAGATTAGATAAAGAGAAATCAATCAGATAAAAAAGAAACAAGTTAAAGCAGGGATGCAGAAATGGTTTTCTGATGGGTTGAGTATGGTGTTTCCTTTTTGTCATGCGCTTGAAGTAGAATGTTCCAATCACGCGTTAAGATGCGCGTCAAATGTATAAGATGTGTCAATTCCCCTTTTTTTTTTTTTCTTTTTCCCAGATAAGATTTGTCAATTTCAGGAGAGTTAAGTGTATGAATGGCACCTCAAGAATAAATGATTCTTCAATTAAATTTGCAGATTTGCAAGCAAAAAAAAAAAAAAACCAATAAAAATGGAAACAAAAAAGTAGTTTCCCTCAATAAACTTCCAACTTCCAAGGACCAACAGCAAGGCAAAATAGGCTTTTTCTTTTTTTTAAAAAAGAAAAAAAGAAAAAAAAGACATGGTCAATAATGGTTGGATCGGGCCGGACCATTTTCCAGTTTCCAACCCAAACCTGAAACCTCAATTTTGGAGCAACTCCAACGTTATCCATGTCAAGTCAATCTGATTATTATTTTTAATTGAATTATTTTTTATAAAATTATAAGTATAATAAAAATTATAATTGTGAAAATATTAAAATTTTATTGTTTTAGTTTTTCTTTGGAAAATTATCATTTTATGTGATAAACACAAAATATATATTTTTATTTTTATCAATACATGTTAGATTTTTATTAAAATTTTAATTTCCTTGACTTATATATATTTTATAATTTTTGTATTACATCATCGTCTTATACATAAAATTGACAGATGCAATAATTTTATTAAAAAAAAGTATATTCTTTATATATTAATATACCAATAAAAAGTAGATCTGATAACAAAGATGGAAATTAAAATTATAATATTAAAAACAACAAAGACGACTTAAAGTCAATTCACTAGCTTGGCCCAGTCCCATTTTATTGTCCCTAAAGTGGGTTTGAAGGAGGTGGATCCCCTCTTCTAGGGGCTGAGTTATAACTGTTCAGCCCAAAAAACATAGTGACAAATTAGGTCAACTAATCTCTCTCAAGAGCATTTATATGTATAATACACATATATATCATGAAAAATATCTTTCAAGTAGATGGCTATGTTAAGCTACATGGTAAGGAGAAGACGATGAAGAAGAATGTAAAAGTACTTTTTTTTTCCTTTTCATGTAGAAGAAGAAGAGGGAGGAGAAGCTGGTAAGGTCCAAGCATTAGGAGCCATAAGAGGCTTTTGATTATAGCAAAGCATATATGGGCTATCATGATTGTGAACACCTTCATAGGTAGTTATCACATAACTTCTATCATCTCTGTCCCTTTCTATCCTCTTCTTCACATTACATCCTTCACTTGAACATTTATAATAGTTCCTGCATACATTAAATAATTATTCACATCATGATCAACCAAGAGGACAATTGGGGAACACATAATTAACATTTAAATTCATAGCTATATTTATAAATTTACTTTTTTTTTAAAATATAGATGATTCCAGATCATATAATAAAATGATAAAATGTAGTCATTTCTCATTCTATAAATGATCTCACTCGTATCTATCTAAAAATTCAAACTTGAAACTTTTAAATTATTAGAATATGAAATTTTAACCTCTAAGATGTTCCATGGATTGGCCAACTATAAATTTATATAAAGGCAAAGAAGCAAATATAAAAGCACATACTTCCATGCTTGTAATGAAAATATTTGAGGTTTGATCGATATTAACTATATATTTGATTAAAGTTTTATGTATTTGAATTTTCCTAAAATCCTCCAATTATCATAACTAAGTTCCAACATGGCAACACACTATATTTGTGTTTTTAGAGAGTTTTTTGTTGGGAAGTAGTATTTGTTTATGATTTATTGTGTATGATTCATATTGCAACAAAGCTTTTGCTTTTAAGTGGTCCTGCAAGCATTATGAATTTAAGTTTGATACTGTCCAGTAGTATTTTCACTGTTCCATATTTTTCCATCGATGCCTCAAACAGACTCCAATTTCATTCATACACAGCTTAATTTGTTACTCCGGAGAAGCCGAAAGCAACTATCCCTACCACTTGCTCTTATTATGTATAGTTTTAGCTTAGTTTCAATTGATTTTAAGGTTAGATGTTTAATATGATATTAAAACTTACACGAAATGAAAATTTATTAAAATGTTATTATCTCACGTGTAATAAATATTTAATTTTTTATAATTTTATATTTAAATTGAAATTCTTCACTTACTGTTAATTGATTTTAGATTGAATGTTTAATATGGTGTCGGAGTCAATTTTTTTTATATTTTTTTTCAAATTTATCGCATGATAGTTTTTTTTTATTTCTATCTATACATGATAGCATGATGAAAGCCTATTAAAATGATATTATCACATATACAATAAATTTATAAATTTTTATAATTTTATATTCAAATTAAATTTCTTCACTTATTATCAATTGATTTTAGGTAAGATGATTTACAATTTACAATTCCATAAGCGAGTTGGAGCCTCAGACACCAACCCTCTTGCTCTTTAAGTCTCAGCAAAATAAGCCTCTGGACCTCAGGCACCCATCATGCACTTAAACAATATTAGAGCCTCGGACACCCACTAACTAGCTCTTAAGTCTTAACAAAATAAGCCTATGGACCCCAGGCACCCAACATGTACTTAAACAATATTAGGCCTTCGAGCAAGAGGTTCAACCGGCAGTTTTCTTAATAATATCAAAGTTTCATGACAGACTCCCGAGGAAACTATATTCAAATAACCTAAAGATATCATTAATTTAACCCGTGCATGATCTTTTGGCACCATATGCATCAGAAAAGAAAGAAAGAAAGCGATGGAATATATAGAAGGAAGAATTGCAGAGACCCCAAAATGCAAAGATATTTATACACGCGAGACAGAGAGAGAGAGAGAGTGCTAGGAAAATGCATGGCTATGGTTTCTTTTTGGGCAAAACAGGTAGAAAGGAAGAGTCAAAATACAGTCTAATTTTACACTTTGCACATATACATACACGCTAGCTAGTACTGTGCTCACGATGATAACGCAGCAGCCCTCTGTGTATGTACGTTGAGTGATCGATGCCTCCTGCAATTGCAGTCTTCATCGATGATGGCAATTTGGTTGTAATTTGTTTTAATGAGGTGTCCCACTTCCCCCCCCCCCCCCCTCCCAACCCTTTCCGATACAATTTGCTACTATCCTACTCTATGATGTGACGGGTTTGATTCATCGGTATATGTTAAATTATATGGCAAGGTTTTTTCCTAAAACTAAAACTCGCTCCACTTTAGGACAGGAAAGAAATGATGGAAAGGGAAATGCTTAAGGTATTGTTCCCAATATGAGTTATGAATCTAGTTGAATTGGATTTAATATTTATAATTGACGCAAAATAAATGAGAAAGACAAAGAGATGGTACACTAGAATAATATCATAATCCAACATGCAACCCATTAATTAAGATCCAAATTCATTGTTTGGAGACATAGATTGTCTGGATATAGTTTAATATAATTATTTCAAATGATCAGGGGAAAGAAACCTGAGAAATATAAAATTTTTATGAAGTTAATTATCAAGTTGGAAATATAATATAAAAACCACCATAGATTTATGCAAATTAAGTTATGGGGTCGGCTCAATATTGAAACAATAATGAGAAGTATTTGTTCCACCTTCCAACCTCAGTGAAAGTGAATTATTCACATCATATATGTTATTATTTCATGCAAGAAGATAAACCCAAATTCAAAGTAAAATTTTTCTTCTTACTTTGCACTGATAATTACCAAATTACCTTGGATTGGGGCTGGTCTTGACGAGCTTTTTCCCATATTTCCTCCATTTATATCCATCATTGATGACTTCTATCTCTGATTTCGTTCTAAATGCAACTCGATGTCCCAGTTCCAACTTGTTTTTCTTCTCTTCACTTTTGGATTTTCTACAAGTTTTCAAGCAAAAAAAAAAAAAACCCATTATTTCTTAAACAAAAATAAGTCAATGATAAACATTACTTTTACTTAATTTACTTCTTTTTTATGGGTTTTCAAGAAGAAAATAAAAAAAGCAAAAGAAAAATCCAAGCGGTTGGGGAGGGGGGGGTTTATATCACTTGCATGTTAGTATTTTTTGATGTTGCACCACTAACTACATTAGCGCCGCCTATGCCCTTCTCCGATGACGCCATACTTTGCGACAAATTGTCTTCCTCGAAGAAGCCATCATCGAGAATGAGATAATCCGAGAGCTCGAGCTCCGCCACCGGATCAGAGTTTCCAGAGAAGCAGGTGTAATTAGGGTTAGGGTTCGAGTTCTTATGAGAGAAGTCCATTTCTAAGGAAGATGGACTTTGGTCATCGATAGTGTGTAGGAAGGGTAACTTGTAAGGCATAGATGCAACCGTTTTATACATTTTTTTTATATAAATATCTATAATTTAAGAATTATCTTTGTTTTTGCTGTTTCATGGACGCTTTCCTGGGGGGAATTGACGAAGCTACTTCGATGTGCCACGTGTTAGGTTCGGTTGAGTGACGTCATGAGAGTGACGTATGGGCGCAACTTTAGTGCGTTGGAATATGGGACCACTTGTAATGTAATTTAATTTTAACTACTCAATCTGTCGCTTTTGGTGGGCGGGAACCATTGCCTGTGGATGAAAACCATTGTGCCTATGCTACTTACACCACAAATTTTTGTCTATACCTGTGGCTATTCACGTGGCGCTTCTTGATTGGATTACATTCATCGTGATCATGAAACGGTCAAAATTCTTGTTGCACTTTGAATTTGAAATTTAAACAGCATCCAGTCATTGGTCCTTTCTCCTTTTATGGAACCGTAAAATAGTATTTATACTGTTACAAAAGCTTTTCTTAGATTAGACATATCACATGTTAAATAACACTAACTAAATTAAACATTTATTCAAAAATTAAAGGAAAATAAAAGACAGTAGGTATTTTTAAGGATACAAAAAGTCTTATTTTTCCTTAAATGTTGAATTTAAATTTAAATGTTTTTAAATTTTTACTGCGCCTGTGTTTTTTGTTTTCAAATAAGATAATGGCACTTTCTATTTTTTTTTCCTTTTTTAACTTTAATGTTAATAATAAAACATTTATAATTTTAATATTTTACCTACATAAGAAATATGCAAAGATCTAGTAGTAATTAAGTAATTTTGGAATTGTAATAAAAATAATTTAATTTTAGACTTCATCTCATATTCGAAAGCAAAAAAAAAAAAACTTATTATTAATATCCTAAATTTTATATTTTTTATTATCTTTATTATTTTTAAAATTTTTTTATAAAAAAAATCACAACCTACAATGTAAAAATTGAAAAAAAAATTTAAATATAATAAATATCATGTTTCTAAAGAACTGTGTAAATTAATTAATTAAATTTTTAATTATTTTTTCAGCTATTTACAAAACCATACATGAGTGAGAAGTGGAGGTACTGTTTGACCACTTGACCAAGTAAGATGCGAATAATTCAGTTCTTAAATTTAAAAGCCAATTTTATTAGATGTGAAAGCAGTAAATATATTGTATGAAAGTGGAAGATAAATAATTTTACTATAAGTATTTTATCTACTTTACTTTTAGTCTTTTGTGCGAATTAGAAGGATTAATTTGTAAAACTTTTCAATTTTATTTAAATAATTATTACGGATCGCATTAGACCTTGAAATTTTGTCTAAAAGTTTCTAATTTGTATGGTAAATAATATTAAACATTTAGACGCTATAAATACTCATTCCATTTCTTTCTTTTACTTTAAAGAAAAAAATTTGAGGAGCAAAAGGGAAGTATGAATTTGTAAATATGTTAATGGATTCTTTCACTTACGAAGTATTAAGTACAAGCAAACATAAAAAAAAAAAAAGAATATAAGTTGTACGTAGTTGAAATTTTACTAGCTAAATAAAAAAAAAATAATTTAAACATAACATTTTCACCTATTTTTCATGTCCTAATTTTGATGAGTTACAAATTTAGAAGATTATTTATATATATATATATATATTTAATTTTTCTTTCTAAACAAACCAATAAAAAACATATATATATTTATTTATTTATCTTTCTACTTTACTCGACGTTGAATTTTCATTTGTTTATATTTCTATCATTTCTACAAAGCAAAGCTTAAATAGTAAACTCCTTACAAAACCCCAACATCATTATATTCTTTATTAAACAAGATAATTACATAGGAAATAATGTGGGTCATTAATATAGTAATAAGATGTTGATATTTATTTTTGAATGATTTTCTTTAATATATTTATTTCTTCTTTTCTTTCCTTTTGGTTTGAATGAAGCGCAATTGAAAACAAAAAGAAGATGAAGACAAGATCTTTACTAACGGTACTAAATCACGTGTTTATGTTTCTCTTTAAGCTAACACAAAAACATATTAATAAGGAAAAAATAACAAGGATATAAGGGGAGAAAGTCTTATACAATATTAAGGATTAAAATTCTTTAATGCATAATAAACCCATATATAATATATCCAGAAAGTACAAATAAATATAAATTAAAAACAAAACTAACATAATTTATTTATTTTTATTATTTAGGTCAAGCATGATGAACTTTTATTATAATTTTATAGTTGTGGCATTTTAGCATATTTAATTCTACAAAAGATTTTTAATTTTATGATTAATTTTACATATGTTTAAATTAAGAACCCTAATTTTTAAAAAGTTAAGTACAGAAAATTGATACAATAATAAAAAACTTAAATTGTTATAATAAAAAGTTCGTGCAAGTTTAATAAAATAAACTCAATTGAAATCTTAAAGAGAAATTGAAGAACATTTGATTAAGATTTAAGAATTTCTTGGATCAATTAATATGTCATTGAAACTTGTATTTAAAAGTTGAGAGTTCAAAAGAGTTTAAACACATATTACCTTTAGCCATTTGTAATAGGATTGGAGTTTAAGAGAAAATTAAAATTTTAAAAAATAAAATAAAAAACTCTTAAAAAATTTTGTCTTTACTTTATGGTTGGATAGGCAAACTTTTTATCAAATTTTTTAAAAGTAAAATAGGTTAATTTAAATCACTTAGGTAGACAAATTAATTTTACATATAGTAAAGTATTGTTATTGATCATTTTCTTATTAATTAGTGAGAAATATATAATTTTAATGTTTTTAATTAACATAAAATTATAAAATATCTATGTAAAATATTTATATTTAACCTTTGGTGTAGAGAGATTAAAATTTTCAACTTATTTAAACATCAAGTTGCACATGAATATGAAAAAGTTTTAGAAATTTCATAGGAGTAAAAACAAAATTTAGAAGGTTGGGGATGGGACCGCCATCTAGTTCCATCATTGGGAACTAACCTTTTCTACAGTCTTTCTCTTTGAAAAAAAAATTACTGCCTTCCTGTTTTTTAGATTTTTTTTTAATAAAAAACTCAATTTTTTCCTGTTTTAAACATCTAGTACTCTCAAATTTTTAATTTTTTAATTAATTTTTCATATTTCTGCAGCTTTTTTATCTTAAAATCATTAATATGATACTACAAATGTAAAATAGAAACTATATTTAAGTTATTTTTTAATCTTTTTTATTGTTAAAATCCATTTTTTTGCTTAATTTCCGTGATAAATCAAACATGAAGAAACAAAAACTGAAGTTACGTTTGTTTGATGTTTTTACCTTTTATTATTTATCGATTTTTAACTTTTTTTTTTTTATGTTTTTCACTTTTTATTAAAAATATAAAAAATTTGGAACCAAATGGCGCTTAGATAAAAACAAGAAAGAATATTTATATGTGCCATATAGTTTTGGGTGCATTTGGAAATGACTTGTCGTAGCGATCTAACAAACTTTTCCCATTAACCAAGTTAAAGACAGTCGCAGCAGCAATATTTAAAATGATTTTTTTTCTTTGTTTTATGCCAATCAAGAATAAAAAATTTCATTACTAAATTCCAACAATGCAAAGCTGATATAACATAGAACTAGCATAACTAACTCATGATAACAGACAAAAACGAGAGAAGGTGAGGGCACATCTTTTGTGTTCAAAATTATAACCATCCTTACTTTATACATTCGATTCAACTGGTTGGTTCATTTTCTCAAAAATTAAAAAAAAAAATGGTTGGTTTATGATTTTCCGCTTAAAAAGCATAATTAAAATTTTTTTCTCGAATAAAAAAAGAATTATAAGAATACACTCTACAATATTTCACGGAATTTTAGTTTAATTTTAATACAATTTAATGATAAATGTATGTATATATCTCGATATTAGAACGATATTAAAATAAGTGAGTTTTAAGTTCTATTTTTTTTTCTTAATATTTTAAGGTTAATTGTACATCTGCTTTGATTGCTTTATTACAATTGTAGACCACCAATTCATAGTAAAAAAAAAAAAAAAATTTAAGATTCTAAGGTCAAAGGAGCACAAGTGTCCAATGGGTCAACAACTCGTGACATGAAGAGGCAGTAACAAGGAAATCCTAAGAAGTAGACCATTTTCAACATATTATTTATTTATATCATGCATGCTTTGTCTTTGAATTGTTTGTGGTGGTAAAGGCACGTGAGAAAGTGCAAGGAAATGTCTTTAAGACATTGACCTGATCAAAACTTTATAATTGTCTCCTTTGATTCATTCTTTTATTTATTATATATTTTGGTATTTGAATTGAAGGGGGAATTGGAATTGGCAACAAGTTGGTAGGAAGCTTCATTTGACAGCAGCAGCCACTATTTTCTAGACAATTTATTTTTCGAAGATTTTACTACTTTGTCACTTACTGATTTCGACCCTCCGGAATTAAGATTAAGATTTATTGGCTATTGCTTTGGTTAAACCATTCCTTTCTTCATATGTCGTTGCCAGGCAAGTTCCAATTTACAATTTGGTGGGTATTGTTTGATTTTGATTTTATCCTTTCTCTCCATTCGATTCAATTTATATATCTATATATATATATATTATGAATACACGATTATAATTTTTTATGTTAAATTTACAATTACACTTATACATATATATATATATGCATAATGTTTCTAATAAAATATATAATTAATTTTACACTATACTCTTCTCATATCTATAATATTAATTTAACTAAACAAAAGTATTATAATATTTATTATTATTACCATCTGTATATGATGAATAAAAATTAAATATGATTATTTGACTATAAAAGATAAATATATATTCTTTAAATCTCAAGAAAAAAATTAGCTGTAACATTAAAATTTCCTTTTTTAGTGTAAAAGAGATCGCTATTTTAAGATTAAAAAATAAGTTATAAGTGTTAGGATTTGGAAATTAAATTTGTTAAATATTATCTCTTTAAAGTGGTTATAAAAA